CAGACAATATTGCTGTACTTTGAAATCAAAGATGCACCAGCATGATTCCTGAAGCCTTGCCTGAGCCTCTTGAGCTAAAGCAAGGGTGTCAAACTTGCGGTGTCATGTTGCCATCATGTGATGTATTGTGACTTTTCCCCCTTCACTAAACCAGGGGTGGGCATGGCCAGCATGTGGTACATCTGGTTGCGTGGGCTGCGAGTTTGACACCCCTGAGCTAAGGTTGTACCTGAAGTAGTATTTTAAAGGGGGAAATTCACTATGTTCACTGAAAGGAAACTTATTTGATGTTTGTAATGTATTTTTTTTAATAGATTATTTTTTCAGCATCAATTTTAATTTTTGGACATTAAAGATGTATATTATTTTATAAGAATGTTCATTTGTTGAGTCCTTGGTGGTCTCTGAGTTCTTTCTCAGGGAACAAACATCATTCCTTTCTAGCTTTAATGATGTTACCTGCAGTAGTTAGGTAATGAAATGTCTGCAAGAAAACACCCAATCTCAGAGAGCATCAAATACTGCATAGTTCAATCCTAAACTACAGGTAGTCCTTTGATTTGATTTTGATTTTATTGAACTTCTCCCAAAGGACTCAGGGCAGTGTACAGTCATATTAAAACACATATAAACTCACAAAATTTAAAAACAATTTAAAACGAATATATAAAAATTTGGCCCATAAAGTTAAAAGCTAACGAACACCCAATTTAAAATTCATATTAAGCCAGCCTGGCCTGTTGGAACAAAAGAGTCTTAAGAGCGCAGCGAAAGGTATGCAGGTCGGGGATCATACGAACCTCTAGGGGCAGCTCATTCCAGAGGGCTGGTGCCCCCACAGAGAAGGCTCTCCCCCTGGGTGTTGCCAGTCAACATTGTTTGGCTGACAGCACCCTGAGGAGCCCCTCTCTGTGGAAGCGTATTGGCCGGTGGGAGGCTATCAGTGGCAGAAGGCAGAAGGTATATAGTCCTTGATTTACGACCACAATTTAGCCCAATTTAGCCTTGTTAAGTGAGACATTTGTCAAGTGAGTTTTGCTCCAGTTTACGACATTTCTGACTACAGTTGTTAAGTGAATCACTGAAGTTGTTAAGTTAGCAACCGGGGGATCTGACTTCCCCATTGACTTTGTTTGTCAGAAGATTGCAAAAAGTGATCACATGATTCCGAGACATAGAAACTGTCGTAAATATGAACCAGTTGCCAAGTGTCTGAACTTTTGATCACATGATCATGGGGAGGCTGCAAAGGTTGTAACTGTGAAAAATGGTCATAAATCACTTTTTCCAGTGCCATTGTAACTGGTCATTAAGTGAACTGTTGTAACTCGAGGACAACCTGTACAAATATTCTCTTCTTTTAATGTTCATTTGATTTGAAAAATATCTGTCACCTTATGTCCAGAAGTTCTCAATGCAGAGAGAATACATTAGTCAGTGTAAATATTTTGACTGTCCATTAGCTATTAGGCTAAGAACAGAACGTTACCATTAAGCAAGTTAATGTACCTGTCCTGCACCTTTTGCAACACCATTAGATTGGACTATAAAGGATCTCAGATTATTTATTTCCAGTTTTATATTTTTCTTTTACTTACCTTGGGAAAAGCACTGTTTTAGGTCTTTGGCAAAGCAGTAGGAACTGTCATTTACTTAAAGGAAACTGAAGGAAAATTTAAGAAAAATCCCACTAAAATAGTAAGTTGCTGTTGTAATGTTTGTTGCAACAGCAACAAAAAAGATGATCCTCTGAATCTGAACATCTTCCAAAAAGCAGCTGTGGCAAAATTATACTATAATTATTCAGAATAGAATCATTTTGAAGGCCTTTCAATGTTGGACTTCCACAAGCAGTTTGTTTATAATAGTTAAAATTCAAAAACAACTTCTCTGCAAAAGAAAAATTATTTTGGAGTGGGGGACAACAATAAGAATTGTTGTACATTCCACATTACAGACTAATAAAAGTGGTCAATATCTAAAACTATAATCCAGTTTGCTGAGCCATTGATGTTAATAGACAAAAATCAATATAAAAAAGCATTTCTATAATATGAACATTCAGTGAATGTTCTGTTTATGACTGAGTCTCTTAAGAATGTCCTACATTGGCAAAAGGATAATCCAGTATATTACAGAAATCTTGTTCTAGTCATAAAAGGAGAAACTGAAAATCCCTGTAAATCACCTTCTGACAATTTTTTTAAGTCTGGGAAATACACAAAATGTTATTGTCTTAGGTCAATTCCACCTGCATGTTTTACTTTAGAAAGCAGGAATCAGTTAAATTTGAGTTGCAGAACTCCTGTGTCAATTCCATCTCTTGTGGTCTTGTACAAGATGTTTCTTGGCAGAAAGAAGCCAAGATTATGGACATATACAATGTATAGTATCCTCAGAAAACAGTTAATTTACTGTATCTAACCCAAGTCATCTAATGATATCTAAGATTCTAAATTGGCCATTTCAATAAGGACTGCTTCGAACAGGGTTGGGCTGTAGAGAGTTTATGGAAATATGCAGATCCCAGTACTGAAGTGACAATGACTATTTTTTTTTTTGATCCAGAATGTTCAGATAATGTTTGGAAGTAAATCATTTATTGGCCTATTAAAAAAAAGGCTGAGATGCAGCAAAATCAGATTTGCAAGACTCTGTGGTTACAACCAATCTCAAACTTAGTTGTACACACCGAGTAGAGTTTATTTCATGGTCTGGTCTTCCTAATAAAACTGACACAAGTAGTTTGGTACCATCCTTGGTAAATTTACCTAATCTCCTTTCTCAGGTTGACAGATTGACAAAAATGAACCAATAGTTATTGATTTAACAAATACATAACCATCGAGATTGTACTCAGATGGTATTGGCAACTTTATGCTAATAAGGTAGAATGTTGGACATTACCTAGGATTCTTGTCTGCATTTGTACACCTTCTTTCTCAGGGGAAAATTATCTCAAGTTCAGAGATCTTTTCTTTTCACTGAATAGGTATATTATTATTATTTTTTAATAAAAAAGCTTTTCTATTCTTAGAGGAGGTCAAGTTAAGTCATTTCAATTTTCTCTGAACTGCCCTACTCTATCTCCTGCAACCTTGTGAGATACAGTATGTTAAACTGAAAGATGGTGATTGGCCCAAAGATAAGAAACCTCTCAGTATAAAAAAGTAAACAATGGGATTTTTATGGGCACTGGTCTCCAAAAACACACCAGTAAAGAGAGGGAAGCAGGCAAATAGAGGTGTGAGGGGGGGGAAGTGGGGAGGAACTTTAACTTTTATCAAGCATCAAAAGTGCCTCAAGATTGCTAGAAGGAAGGAAAATAAACTGTACCAGAGTAAAAAGGAACATGTCTATAGGCATGCCTGCACTGCAGCATCCCTGACTCAGTGCCATATGTATTTGGACTAAATTGTTCTTCCCCTGCACTGGCTTTGAAAGAAAGAGAAGCACAAAAAAAAAAAAGGAACAGGCAGAGTGGAACACGCAGTCTCGTCTACAGGGGAATCCTTTTTGCTCACCATGGCCTTTTAATCCTTGAATCTTTTTTCAAATATATACTTGATTTCTTGCAGCAGTTCGACGATTAGACTCCTAGGATTATTTAAACTCCTTTTAAAATAAAAATGCAGTAAGAACACTGCAATTATTAGGCAAATTCCCCAAACATTCGATCTTCAAAATATGTGATTTTTAGATTTTTCCTGCCAGCATTTCTTGGATATGTCCTTTTACACATATCTTAGACAACACATTTTAGATTGAGAGGATATTTGTATTATTTTTAATTATAATTTTAATATAAAAATTTCCTTGTATTTTCTTTGCTTCCAATCACAACTAGTATAAATTGATGTTCTTTCCTAGAAAAAATATAGAAATCATTTCCCACAGTTTTCTTTTGGGATTTAAAAAAAAAAACAATTCCTAAACTCGTCCACGTAGGATGTCTTGAGGTTCTTCCATCCAACTACTCGCAAAACCTGATGTTGCTTAGCTTTTTCAAAATCGGCCAAGCAAGCTAGGTACAATCATGATCTCATAATGGTTGCTTTGAACAACTAAGCAGCAAGAACTATGAAGTAAATTTATTTTGGTGAAAATATTATAAAATAGTATACATCATAGATATTGTAATACTATAATAAAGTTATTGAGATTATTGTAATTGAATTTGCTAAGTATTTATGAGAAGTTAACTGAAGTATCACTAGAAAATAATTATCAATAAAGTCTATGCTTCTTGGTTCTAATTCATAGACGACATCTAATTTCAATCAAAATTAGGTTTTACGTAAGATGGATATTCAATCATTGGACTTTGTCTCTGACAATAAAAGCTCAAGCTGTAGTACCCAATGTAGTCTTCATTATCTCATATTTCACAATAGCTTGATAAATATCTTATATACATTCGCATGGATTAAAGGTTGAAACAGCTTCCATGTTGGATAGGTTTATTATTTATTATGGTTATAAACTAGACATGAGATAAAGCAGAGTACTTGAATATAAACCAATCTTTTTCCATTATTGTGAATGGGATCATTTCAAATTTATGAATAACTAATGGACTGAATCAATTCGAGCTTAGCTCGAAATAAAATAATCATAATCCAGTGGAAATTTAATTGAAGATATCTAATTTACTTCATAATACTTTCCTTGTATCAGCTGTTCGATTAACAGGGAAACCAAACATGCACTGGCAAAACAGATGTATGTAACAATTTTATATTGAAACTGAAAATGTATCATGTTTTCATATATGAAGCAAACAGGACTTTCTATTATAGTATTTTCTTCTTGCTTTTCATATTTACTGCAAGTCAGTTGGACAATTGAAATATGGCAATTTATTATGCATTGTCTTCAAAATCAGTTAAAAATTCTAATTGTCTTATGAATTAACTTTCTTTGACCCTCAGATTTAAGGCAGGAGCAGATTGAACCATTCTGTTTTTCAAATTAATAAACATGAAAAATATACAGAAGCATTGTAATTTAAACATGTTCTTTATTAATTACAACATAGTGGTAATTTATTTTTAGTTTAATCATGCACATATTCTACTTTCAAAATCTTGCTTTCATTTCAACATCTTTTCACTTTTTAAAATTTTTTATGTCTTTGAAAACTAAAGTAGCCTGTACCAATTACAAACCAAGTTGTAGAAATCTGGAGTTAACCCTACTTAAAATTTACACTCAAGCATTATATCCTATACTTAAAGGCAACTTCCCTTCTTGAAGGCTTGGATTCCTGGGCACAAAATTGAAGAAAAAAATACTATAAAGATGTTTAAATCTTTGAATATAGGTTTATCTATATAGGTTTATCTTTGAATAAACCTAGCTTAAAAAGGAGGAAAAAAATATCTTTGCTGAGGAATGAGCTGTGTAGTTTGAATAGGCTTTTTGAAAAGCTGCCACTAAAAATCCTTAACTTCTGATAACACTTTTATTATTTTAAATGAAACTATGCTGGTCAAATAATTGATATAATACCATAAACCGTCTATTCACAAAAAATTGATATATTGTGATTAGAAGATACAAATGCAGTACAGTTAAATACAGAGTGATGTATTATCACATCATCTTAAATTTCAGACATTTTTATAGTCAAGTGCTTTTTGGGAACAGTGGAATTTGAACATAGAATCTTGTGTTGATAAATTTTGCTGTTATCCAAGCAAAATGCTACAAGTGGAATCTTAATCCAATGTTCTATACCTGTGGATAAAATTCCAAGATGATCTGTATATCCTGTGTTGCACATTTTTTTCTTTATTGTTTACATCAGAGCATAACCAGAAGCAGAAGTTAAATTTGGCATACCACTAAAATCTTTAATTTGGATTTATGAAGTTTGCAAAATCATAATTTGTATTTTTGGAAAATTGCTTGGAAAAGCAACTAGCCATAAAAAATTAACCTGGAGTAGAAATATCCAAAGTTTGTAATATCCAAAGTTCAATGATCATACCTCTGTGATAATTTCCAGTGGCGGAAGCTAATCTGCATGCTCAAAACCAACATGCATGTAGTTGAAAGATACATATTAAGAAGTCATTGCTATTCAAATCCAGGTGTAGAAGTGATACTGCAAAGTGACTTTATTAATTGGTCCCCAATTACCTATTTAATACAACACAGCACACTATTTTCCTCTTAAACTAGACTTTAAAAATCATACATATTATTTTATTATATTTCTCTCTTTAGTCATAAAAGTTAGAGTTCACATTTGGTAACAGGAAACCTGTTTACAGAATAAAATTAAAAAATACTTTGCACCTGTTCTGCAATCTGGCACTTAAAAGTATGGTTAGTAATAACTGATATTAAAAGGGAATGATAGAGCAAACAAAATAACTCGGAGCATAACACAGATGTGTTAAAATCATGTTAGGTAAGTGAAAGACATCATCCTATGATCAAAATATTTCTAAGTGACAAATGGGACTAAGAAACTGAAGTTCTCAATTGCTGATACAATGAAAAGTTCTTCTATAGTTCAAGTTTTACAAAAAACGAATCCCATGCTATACACACACAACCCCCCCTCACTGTATTCCTATAAATATCAAATGTACATTCCTATACATTTTCTGTCAATATTTTTTTTTCTTTCCCTCTTCCCCCACTTCCATAAAAGTATGGAATTGAATTCACAAAAGTTGAACTAGGAAGAATACAAATTCAACATTTGTTTAACAAATCTTTTTGACCTGCACTTTGAATAAATTGTTACTGGAAGACTGAACAAGTTTAAAAGTCAATTGCTATTTTTAACTGGAAAATGATGGAATTCTTTTGGTCTTTTCCTTCTTTATTTGAAGCAACCTTGCAAATCAACATGCAACATTATCTATTCCCAGAACCTACCTTGCACTGATAGGCTTACAATTTATTTCAGCTGTTGTAATATCACAGTATTCAATATATCTGATTCTTGTAATGTCAGGCTTTCATCTGTAAGTTCTTTATGTGGAAATGTAGTCAGAAGAACAAAGTCAGTTGTGGCAAACAAAGGCCGAGACTGGACAATAAAATTTCGTATATCTGTAATCCTGTTGGCATGAATAAGATTTACAATTTAGTTGTTGGATCAGCAGAATTTTATGCTACTATGTTATACAATGGAAGACTGGAAGGAATTTTGGAGATCATCTGTTCAGTTTCAAGATCCTACAGTGTAGGAAATTTATCTAACTTACCTATGTGTTTGATTAAATCTTTGTATTAAACGACTGCCATCAGCTAGACGAATCTGGATCTTAGTTGTTGGTACAGTGGCATCTATTGGAACAGTGGCATCAAAAAAAGGTTTGTTTTCTTCTTCTGGAGATGAAGGTGTACTTACAATCTCAGGGGTGAGGCTGAAAGAAAATAAAACAAGGTAGAAAAAAGATACAGGACATGATTCTGAAATTCTTTCCAATTTCTTATTAGCATCTTTGATCTTGGTCATGTGATCAGAAGCATATAGGCAGTCCTCAACTTACGGCCGGTCACTTAGTGAACATTCAAAGTTATGACAGGCACTCCCAAAGGTACTTACAACTTGGTTCCAAAGTTCTGATGGCCACCCCACCCTCAGTTACATGACCATGTTGTGGGAACTCAATAGCCTGGATATATGGCTGTTTACCTTGTCCCATGGGGGTGGTTTATGATGTTTTTGCTGAACATGGTGTTTATTTCCAGATTCTGATAAAAATGCTCTATAGTGCACAATAGGTTTGCTAAATAACTGTGGAGTTCACTTAATGATTACTGGAAAAAAAAGGTCTTAATGGTCATGTGATGACCTACTTTATCATCATCACAACTTACAACCATAACTGGCAGACTCCATTATGATTGTAAGTTGAGGGCTACCTGCAGTGTTCAGGAACATTTATCTGGAAGAGGTTAAGTAATGACACTTACTTGCAAGTAAGAACTTTGCTCTAATTATGTGTAAAAATGCATTTTAAATAATTCCTTCAATGTAAGTATCCCATACATTTTAACAAAACTAATCATATAGTCCAGACATAGGTAACCTAATATTTCTCAGTTGCTTTGCATTAAAGCTCTTTCCAAATTACCACAATTATTTTGTCTGATTTGAAATCAAGAAAATTTGGAGGGCATTACGTTGCTTATTCCTTATGTAAACTATTGAAGTGTTATGAATAAAATTTGTACTCTTGCATATTAATTTAAAGAACATGACTTTTGCAGGAGTAAAAATATTTTGCAGATTGCAAACACAGTCTTTGCAGATTTACTCTTCTGGGAAAAACCCTTGAGCAGAATTGCCTTGATTGAATATTTAGTTCTCATCTGTTTGTTTATAAACACTCAACTAATTGGTTTGACGTGTCTGGAAATTCTAATAAAATATATGTAAAAAATTTGATCGTTTCATGGCCCTAACAATTTAATGAACTACACTTAGCTACTGTTTTTATTTTAACTTTTGAGATAACTTCTTGATATTATTTGTTTCATATTTAATAATTTAAGTAAACATTAACATTCAACCTAGAAACTGGGAGACTGCCTTAGCATGACGGCAACTTGGGCCATTTACTATCTCCCAGCCCAGCCTTATGTAACAGGCAATGGCAAACCACTTCCAAAAAAATCTTGCCAAGAAAACTGCAGTGAATTGTCCAGGCAATCATTGGGTGTGAAGACTCATTTGAAAGCATGGAAAAAAATGCAAAAAGCAAAATACAGTACATAACTCTTCCCCAATACAGTACCTTTAAATGTATCAGTATTACAACTCCTAGAAATCCCAGACCACAATACTCTAAACTCCTTTGCAATAGTGGCGGATATCTGTAGCTTGGGTGTACGATGAGGGTTAAGGTTTGTTCTCTGAGCTTGTGGGTTGATTTATGAACGTTTCATTACCAGGCTAGGTAACATCTTCAGTGGAGTTTAGGGGATGTCAGTGTCAGTGTTCTTCTGTTTTATAAGGACTTCAGGTGTGGATGTGTCAAGTGAGGGTCTTGTGATGGGTCAGCTATGAGTCATCAGTGAGTCTTGTGATGGGTCTTGTTATAAGGACAGTATCTCAGGTCAGGGTCATTGGGAGGTGAAGTGCTCGTGGGGGGGGGTGTTGCGTGGGTTGGTTGAGGATTGGTGCTATCTCGGATTGGCTGTGTAGTTGATTTGGATTCTGAGAGATTCATAGGCTGGTTTAGGTCAATGTGTCTGTTGATGGAATTGCTTATGGAGCGAGGCTTCGATGAACTACAAGTATGGTGGGTGGTAGCATGGCTGATGATTTTTGTGTTGCTCCAATCAAACTGGTGCTGTTTGTTGTTGGTGTGGGTAGAAATTAAGGATTTGGGATCTTGACTGCCAGCTGGTATTCGTGGATCCTGGTTTTTAATTGACATGATGTTTGTTCCACGTAGAATTGGTTGCTCTAAACTCCTACTTTCAACTGTAATTAATAACAGTTAAGTATAATTTCTTTTTAAATGACTTTTTTTAAAAAAGAAACTAACCTTCCAAGTTTCTGACCTTCTCCACTGAAAGCTTTGAATTTCAGTCTAGGTCTTACATATTCCTGTTCTTGATGGTCTTCCATATCTAAATTAACTTGACCTCCATGCACTAGTCGTTGAAGTTCAGCAGGAATCTCTCTTAACAGCAAAAAAAAAGAACAACAATGGTTTATTCTACGAGGAAACCTATAGACTAAGCTGAACAGTGAAATGTTAAAATTGACTTGTTTTTTGCCCAATCATATCTTTAACATTATATTAAAAAATGCTACTCAACAGATACACTGTTCTCTATAGTCTTGCATATATTTAAAATGACCATTTTTTTTTGGAAAAAATAAAGGACAAACCTGAAAACAGGCAAATCTGAAAGAGGATGATAAAGATAGAAAAAGAATAATTACATTTTAACTTTAGAAAGAAAAGAGGGAAACCAAGAAAAACTTATAAAACATATATTCTAATAAAACTATATAAAATCAAACTGTATATATAAATTTATTTTAAAAAGACAATTCCATTTCCATATTTTTCACATAAATTTTGGCTGTATATTAATGGGTATATTTGTAAAGTAAAAATTAAATGACTAAAATAAAAAATTTTGGTCTCTGGAAGACCTCCGTGGGGGTGGGTAAGGCCATTTTCGCCCTCTCCAGACTCCTAGAGAGGCTCTGGAGGCTGGGGACAGCAAAAAATGGGCCTTCCCCACCACTCCCGGAGGCCTCCCAGAGGCTGGAAACAGCCTTTTTCGCTACTTCTGACGGGCCCAAAAGGCCCGAAAATGAGTTGGCCAGTGGGCACATGTGTGCTGGAGCTGAACTCACATGCCCAGTGATATGGCTACGCGTGCCACTTGTGGCACACATGCCATAGGTTCACCATCACGGTTCTATAGAATAGAGCAAACTGTTTATTATTTATTAATTAATATGGCTGCCCACTTGGCACGTGACTCATAATGGTATACACAATTAATGTCTGGAGGAAGATCAAGAACTTCAGAGTCTTTTGGAAGACAGATAGAGTCAGAGCTATCCAGATCCTGAAGGAAATGCTCTTGGTCCTGCCAAATAACACGGCTTGAGTGACAATATAAAGAGCATGCAAACTCTTTCAGACTTACTGGACAGGAAAGCATAACTAGAGACAGCCAATCCTGCAAATGGTCAGGTTCTGTGCCATGAAAAACTTTATAGCTGACAAACAGGATATTTAAGCTTACTGGGCAACTAGTGCAAAGTAACAGGCTTATATGTATATTAATGTATACCTATAACTACGCTCACTACTGCATGTTAGATCCCTGTAGCTTCCAACTGGTCTTCAAAAGCAGCCCCAAGTAAAACATATTGCAGTGATCCAGGTGAGTTGTATCAAGGCTGTGTCAGTATAAGTATGATTTTCTGATCCAGAAAACGGCATAATTAATGCACAGGATGGATTTGTGAAAAGGCCCTACAAGGCATAACTGCTACCTGTTCTTTGAGCATACGAATGAGTCTAGTAAGATCTGCTGTGGGCACATGACCCTAAAACCTATAGCCATTGTTATTACAAGAGTAGATTCTAAGCCTGTTCAGACCCCCACAGCATCCAGGCATTAAAATCTCAGCATCCATGATGGATTGAGATATAGATCTGGGTATCATCATCATGCTTATGGATGACTTCACCCATCCTCACCCAATGGTCTCATTCAGATGTTAAAATAATATTTCTGAGATACTCTAAGCAGTTAGAGCAGTCTACTTCTTTGAGATCCTGATAATACATGAAGAGAGATCATGGTTGCCCAGTATAGTGGATTAAGCATATCTGCAGAAACCATAGGAAACAGACCAGCACTCAACTTGGTCATCAGCCCATTCCCACATGCTAAGGTTTACTTTGCTCCTTCAGCACATTGGGCCAACTGTACCTAGGTCGGTACCACCACCAATGTGCAGTCAGATGCCACTGCTGCTGTTACATAAGCACTAAATGCTGAGCAAGCACTTACCATCACCAGCATCCAACATCCCATTGCCTAGCAGCTCCTCCAGCCAAGCACATAGTGCAATTCAACAGCTGATTGGCAGCACCACTGCTGCCACCAAGCAATTGGTCTCTCTATTGAGTTAGTCACCTCCATCTCCGGTGTCATCTATGGCTTCCATACTGACTTAGCTTACTATCGCACTATTCTAGGAGTGTGCTTCCCACAAGGCTGCTATTTGCCAACTGTTCTGGAGCTTCAATTGTTTATGTTTCCACCACTACTACTACCAAAATCCTTAATATCCAGCAGCAGCTTCAATGGCACCAGAGGCCTCTCCTCTCTTTTTATTATCATCACCTTTGTCTCTCATTAAATGCAATATATACCTATCTAAACTCTGGTACCCATCAGAAATTACTATCTTGCCTCAGCATCATTACAAAAATCTATAAATAAGTCTTACAAACACCAAAGGAAAAGCTGTATTCTTTGAAAGACCAGTAGAATGTAGTAAAATTATCAATAATACACTTTCAAAATGCATGAAGTTATACCATACAATAGGGAAAGCATGGAGAGCACATTGTCTGGAATTCTTTCTAACCTCTTTAACAGTGAGACCCATGGGAAATACCTATTTTCTTCTCTATCCTGCTGTAGCCATATAGTTCTAATCTTCCAATATGGTCTGTCTAATAGTCTATTTTGCATTTTTCTCCATAGATAGGTGGAAATGTGTTGCCTCTCTATGGGTGTATGTCTATGTGTCTGTGTGTGCACATGTGCATCTGGAATATTGTTTCCACTCCTTCCATTCATTGTTGCTGCATGTTTATTGATATGTGTACATTTTCTTTCAGAGATATGATCAGAGTATCTTTACACATGTTGCGTTTTTGTTTAAGTAAGCTTCTATTCTCATTTTATGTTCTTTGTGTTTGTGTATCTGGGTCTGGATGCACTGAGAAGGACAGGACAGGGTGCCTATGGAAACCTATGGATGCCACAGAGAGGAGGGGGGTCAAGCTATTTTTTAAAGCATCTGAAGGCCAGACAAGGAATAATGGATGGAAACTGACCAAGGAGAGATTCAACCTAGAAATGAGGAGGAACTTTCTGACAGTGAGAACAATCAACCAATCAACCAGCTTGCCTTTGGAAGTTGTGCCTTCATCACTTGAGGCTTTCAAGAAAAGACTGGACTGCCATTTGTCAGAAATGGTGTAGGGTTTCCTGCTTGAGCGGGTGGTTGGACTAGATGACCTATAAGGTCCCTTCCAACTCTGTTAATCTGGATGCAATATTGGTCACATAACGGAGGACTTCTGGAATGCTTTCCACCCCTTCATAGCAGTTCTGGCCTGGATATGGGGGGTGGGGGTGAGTTAAGAAGTAAGTATTGCAGCTTTCCAAGCTGCTCGCCTGTATCTCCCATAAGACATTCAGATTTTTAAAAAATGTTTTCTTCTTCAATTCTTTGCTAGATCTAGTCTATTTTAGAACTTGGTCTTTCTGTTGTGAACTTGGCTCACCACACCCAACATATGGGTTCTATTCTCTGACAAAGCTTTGACATAATTTATTTACATAATTTATTTACAATAGGACATTAAATTGAAAAAAACAGCAAAAGATCTGCAGGATTTGAGAGAGCAGTCTTTTCTGATATGAAGTATTTTGCTTGTGTCATCAGATATGCTTAATTACAACTCCTATATTTTCTGCTGAACATAGTTTAATGTGCTATTCTATCTCTTTTTGAAATAAAAAAACATATTTTTGAAATATTTGTAAATCAAGATGTTTTTGTAAATCACACATCATGATTTGCACAGGTCAAATCTAGGAAACATAATTCTTTAGTAATTATTATCTGTTTATTTGCTTTGGAAATCAAAGAAGTACTACCATAATTGGTTGCAAATAATTTTTTCTTTCTTACATATTTATTATTTTCCTGACCTTAAAAATTTATCCATGTCTTTGAACCTTCATATTAATTAGAACAGTCCACTTGACATTAGTGGATTGGTGCTCCAGAAATGAAATCCCTTTCCCCTCAGAAACTTGTCTGATTTTCTTAAGCATAGAGATAATCAATTAATTAAGATCGCAGACACTAGCTTTGTATTTAATATTTTAGGTAGGTAAATAGAAGGTTTTTATAGAAGATATGTTTCAAATCAAACTGTTTTGACAACATCTCTTGCATCTATCTTAACTTTTTTTTTACTTAGTTATTTAAGCTTTTTTTTGCAAAGGGCAAATTCTTGCTGCATCTGGAAGGTCTCTTAAATATTTCTCCAGTTTTCCTAAAGCATGTGTCAAAGGGCGGAGAAGGGCGGCATATAAATCAAATTAAAAAAAAAAATCCTTGATGTAGTGCTTAAGATGCTGAACTGGAAACTGAGAAACTGTAAGTTATAGTTCACTCTTAAGCATGAGAATGGGATAGAAGACTTTGGGCCCTCACTTTCTCTAAGTCCAATTAACCACACGGGGTGGTTGTTGTGGGGAAAATAGAATCAGGAACACTATATGTACCCCTTTAATGTGCAAAAATAGGGAACGGCTATAAATTAATTTAATTTAAATGGGACCTTATGGTAGTTTTTGACATTGTCCTCCCAATACCATTTAACACGTGTGGATATTTTTAGGAAATACTTTTAATTCAGCCAAAAAAATTAACTACATTTTACTCTTGAGTTTCATCTGACTTTGTTGTGACAGAGCATCTACTGTATTTCAGATTCATTGGCAAATCTACCATTTTTTTCTATCTTGAAGAATAAAAAGCATGATCTCCTACTCAATGAATAGAAAATCTACAAAAATATCAAGGCAATGAAAATGTTTATCAATATATTATTGTACTCACTAATATTATAAACCTACCCTCTTTTAACAGATTCAAGAAACTGAGCATTCACTGGATCTGTGTAGGATCTCAGCTCTCCATCATCTAAGCTGAAGCCATTCCTCCACAATTTAAGCAAGATCTCAACCTATTGATAAATCATAATAATGACTTATAAATTATGATTTTTGAAGACATAGATTGTTTCTACCAATAGATATTGGCCTGTTTCTCAGTATTATAGCACTTAATTTAAAATGATCATCTGAATCCTTTAAAACTATATAATAGTTCCAATTCTGAATCTTTCTAACGATTGGGAAACAAATAGCTAGAAATGCAGAAGTTGCAGTATACAGAAATGCAGAAGGTGCAGCTTGCCAAATTAGAGCACGATGTTTATAGTAAAAAGTCCTCCCTTAGCCACCCTTCTGCATTTTAATGCATCATCTATTTCCTAATGAGATAGCTGTGGATAGTTTTTTCAGTGTACTTCTTACCCAATTGGAAAAAGTACTAGTTCGACAAACTGCTCTGCATCCAAGAATACTAGGAGCAATAGCTTCTACTTTATCCTGCACAAGGGATTCTCTTCATGTAGAAAGACTACAGGGGACTCACTGCCCTCTACGATGAATCATGCCACTGCCTCCTGATACTCCTGGCATATAACATAACTAGGTCTTCCTGGACAGGTGGGAGACTGAATCCAACCTTAGTGCATTATAACAATCACATATGAATTCATGTTGTACATAGGGACCATTAATTAGTGCTGAAGAGCAGAACTTGCTAATACAGCACAGCAGGCCTCTATATTGCCATACCCATTCTTCAGACATACTAAATGTAAGTGTAGACCAGGGGTGTCAAACTCGGAGGCCACAGGCCAGATGCATCATATGCCTGTGACGCTCACCCCTGGTTTAGCGATGGGGGAAAAGTTGCAATGTGTCACGTGACAACAATGTGTCATTGTGAGCTTGACACCCCTGTTGTAGGCCATAAAGTATTTGTTCCTTTGTTGTAAGAAATCAAAGAGTAAAGTATAAATAAGCTATTCAATATATTAAAAGGTTACCTACCAAATTTATCTAAATTCAAGATAATGAGTGTTCATAATACGTTTTATTTTATGGAATATAAAATAAAATATTATCAGTATTAAAACACCACTTTCCTAGCAAAACAATATTCATTCAGAATAAAACTATATTCTCAATTCAGCCAAAGGCATCCAGAAAAGGGTCTACCTCTCCCACGGCAAACAAAGGAAAAGGCCTTTCTACTTGATCTTCTGATCTTCTCGATCAGGCAGAGAGAGATGGGAAGAATGAACATCTTAAGTATCAACCTAGAACCAAGATTCTAACTCAAAACATCTAGTCAGGTAACACACAACATTAATGTACACTTATTTAGAAGAATATATTTTTCTGTGCTTTCTTTTTATGAGTATCACATATTCATGTTTAAGTCTTCCCCTCTCTAATACAGAATACAGAAGCACAAAAACATTTAACCAAATTAGAAACGTATTTAGTAACCACAGAGTTTATATTTTGGTATGTATGTGGAACTTAAAGTGAAATCTACTTTGGAAGAATCATATTGATTCTCTTTTTAATAGAGAATTTTATTTACTTACATCTTGCCCGTACTGATTTTCTCCATGTATATATTCAGAATTCTTCCGAGCAGAGTCTCCCAATCTGTATCCACCACCAGAAAATGACTAATAAAATAATTAAAATAGTCCATTTAGTCAAATAATCTGTAAATTAGAAACACTTTTCTTTTGTTGCTACAAACAAAAATAGAAAAAAATCAAAATCCACTGAATTCATCTTATCATTATTAAATGATAAACATATCCAGGACTATATTTTGTGGCCAGTGACTATTGCATTTGATAGCTTATAATTAGGGACAGAACAATGCCATACTTTCCCCAAAGAAATGAGATTATGTGAAATTCATGCAATAAATGTAAACCAGATCCATACATCATATCAAACAGTTTGTAATTAAAACAACATCTGAAAACATAGTTTGCACACATTACAAATAAGTGGTGGTTTCACTGATAAACTAAGACTCTAATTGTCAATCTGCTTCTAGAAACTACTAGATAAGAATGAATAATTTAAAATGCTGCACTGGTTAGACTGCATTTAGCACACCAGTAGTCCTCAACCTACAACTACAACTGAGACCAGCATCTTGGTCATTGAACAAAGTGGTAGTTCAGTGAGATGCCCATGTTACTGCTTTGTCCAAAGACCAAAAGACCAGCACTCCCAGTTGCAATTATTGGGTTATTCTCAGGTTGTTAAATGGACAAAGTGAAAGAGCTGCCTGCCAAGTTCAGCTCTCCTTTGGGCATGGAAAAGAACTGTTCCTCTCAGCAGCTTGCAACCTCCACTGCTGGCTTCTACATTGACTTTCTGGGGAAGCCAGCCAAGAAAATTGAAAATGGCAATCACATTATTGGGGGTATTTGGGAGCTAGTCATAAATTTAAACACCCAGATTGCAAGCATGCAATCAGGGGATGATGGTGCAATGTTTTGCAATGGCCAGAAGTGCTTTATGGGCAATAAAGCATCTTTCTGAGGCTGTCATAATTCCAAACCATTGTTAAACAAATGGTCATGAGTTGAGGATTATTTGTACTGTGTCCAGTTTGGCTGCCAAATGCCAGTTTTTCAGAAAACTGAAAAAAAAATGCAAGGAATGCAGAGACAAGTAACAAAGATGGTGAGGCTAAATCCTCCGAAGACCATTTAAAAGAACTAGGCTTGTTTGCCAACAAAAGAGAAGGCTAACAAATGACATGACAGCAACTTTCTATACTTGAAAGGGCTGTCATCAGAAGAGAGCATGGATTTATTCTCCCTAGTGTCTGAATATAGGATAAGAATCAACGGATGGAAGCTTTATAGAGAAAGATCCAAATACAAAATAAGGAGAAATTTCCTGACTGTAAGAACTACTAGGTAGTGGTACAGCATGCTTTAAGTCATGGATCTTTCAAACAAAGTTCTGACCATGATTTGTCTGGGATGGTGTGAAGTCAGACAGTTGAATTAGTACTTCCCAATCCTTTGATTCTATAAAACAAAAATGTTTAGCAGTTAGGAGAGTAATCTCAGAAAAAGTGCTGATGTTTGCTGAATGGTTAAGAGATCAAACTTTGCCTTATATTCTACAGTTAAACTAATATACAGTATGAATTGCATAATGGTTAAACAAAGGAAAACATGCAAACAATTATTTAGATATACTATATTAGTAAACATATCTATGAAATGTCACTAGACATTTAGGAATGCTAATAGCTGTTTTATATAAAGCAAAGATATAAGTTAACTGCTACACTTTTAATTTCATTTATATATAAATAAATTTGTAGCATTTGCAGTTATTTATTCCTATTGAAGTCTGGCAGAAATATTAAAAGCAGAGATATTTTTTCAGTAACTTTACCACTATTCTTGTTCTCTAGAAATATTTACCTAAATTCCTAACTTTTTAAGTAAAATTTAAGCATGATTTTAAGATGAATCAAATCTCAACATGAACATTTTTGCATTAAAATAAATGTTCTAGAAAAATGTATATACACACTTTAGCTTTATGGCAGTCTCCTGAAGCTCTTGATACTTCATCCAAAGGAACTGCCCCATGTTCTCTTGCTTCTTTGAAAAGTTCATCGACTATTTTACTGGAGGATATATTGTCAGATGACTCAACAATTCTGTATTCTGTATCACCTGAATAAAATCTTTTTTATTTAAAAACAACAACAACAATGGTTATAGTCAAAACTTTTAAATAGAAACTCAGCTTTCCAACAGAACTGGATTTTATGTGGATTCCCACATAAAAGCAGTTAAAATTTCCTTTCTAAGGTAGGTAAAATGAGGACCCAGTTTGTGGGGGCAATAAACTGACTTTGTATAAATATACAAAAGTATGAAGGCTATTGCTTAACGCATTGTAAGCCGCCCTGAGTCTCCAGAGAAGGGCGGCATATAAATCAAATTTTAAAAAAAAATACTTAAAAGCAAGGGATTTTTCAAAATCCTGAAAAGACTGTACTAGAATTTCTATGAGCTCCTTGTTCTCTCATTCTCCATAATATAATAACTACAAGGTCGTCAAAAAGAAGTTTCTTTCCCAAAGCAGTTTCTGTCTCATTCTACAGCAGTTCCTGGTAGGCTCCCAAAGCTTCAAGACATAGACGATAGACTAAAGTTGAATAGATTTTTTTTTTGAAGTTCAGGTCTGTGACTATATTCCATATACATGATTTTAACTGGAAAAAGAACCCACTGGCAAAATGGTGAGGCTGAGATGTAAATTTTATATCAAAGATATACAATGAAACAATGAGGACTCGATAATTTATTCTATCTTATTTCTCCCTAGCAAAGAAAGCTGTAGAGCTATGTAATGCTTTTGATTCTAGGCAAAAAAAAATGCTTCGAAGTTGGCTGGGATGCACACGTAGCATCTGCAACTCTTTAAACCAAACACAACTTTTTCAGGGATCATATGGCAGTCGTAGAGCACAGTTGCACAATCCTGGGAAAAGACAAAATTGCTATAGCAATAGCACTTAGACTTATATACCGCTTCACAGTGTTTTATAGCAATCTCTGAGAGTCAGCATATTGCCCCCAACAATCTGGATGCTCAATTTACCTTCCAACCTTGAAAGGATGGAAGGCTGAGTCATTCATGAGCTGCTCAGAATCAAACTCCTGAAGTAAGCAGCGATTTAGCCTGCAGTACTGCATTTTAACTACTATGCTACTTATGCTCACAGACCACCTGTAAGGACTTTAAGATATTCCAGACAAGAGGAACATCACTGAAGGAAGGCGTATTAGATACCTTGAGTTCTTTATAAAAATAAAGGTGGGATATAAATAAATGAAAATAAAATAAATATAATATATCAAAGGTTTTATTTTATAGTACCTTTGGTTATCCATGTCATCACTCATACTTCTTTCTGGTTTTCTCAAATTTCTAGAAGAAACAAGAAAATTCATTCATAATGTTATTTGTTTAATGTACCATCAATCTCTTATTCCATTGTATTATAAAAAAACAAAACAAAAACCCAACCCTTGCACTTTCCTAACTAAATTAGTTAGGAAATTAGTTTTAAATTAAACTAATTTGAGATATAGAGTTTAAATATATGACTAAATACTATATCAGTCTATAGCAAATTGATAGTATAATCATAGTAGTTCATTAATTTTAGCAGAGTTAAAGTAAAGCTCTATGGCAGTCAAATGATTTCCTAAATGAAATACAATTAAAATTCGCTTAAAAATAAGTTGTCCCATGTTTTAATAGAATTTACTCTCATATAAATAAGCACAATTTATACTCACAATATTAAATATATTTCAGAATCAAGAAATAGGATTCATTAAAATGCTTACTCAATATTAATATTTCTTACATGTATGTTTATAGGAACTATAACAATAATTTCAAACTATTCTATCTTCCAATAGCTACAATGAAGATTTTTTTGTACCTTTGCACTGGTAATCGGGGGTGACTGGCAACTCTAGTTGTTGGTTTGCCTGAATGAGGTGGTTGTCTTTTAATTTCATCTTCATATAATCCAGCCAATGCCAGCTACACAGAATATATAAATTAATCAGTGTCTATTGACCCAAGAAATGAAGTAATATGAGCTATTTTCAATGTAGGGCTGGGTAGCAAGGAAGAGCATAGATAAGTAGTCAAGCACTGACAGTTATTTTTTCATTCAAATCTCATGATTGAAGTATTTGCCAAGTGAATACTTCTTAATACAGATGTTATTACATATTATTTTACTATTAGTCTAAATTGGCAAAGTAAGATTAAAGGCAGTGAACAGAACAAGCTCACAGTAGGTGGCTGTTGACTTTCCTGAACTTTGTTGAACTACAAGGTCTCTGGTTCTTCAACATTGACAATGCTAGTTCGAGCTGCTAGGAATTGATTAGAAAAATGGGGGGTTGGGGGGGAGGGATATACTTTCCACCTGTCAAAGTTTCAATGTCTAGACTAGTGAGTGAAACTTGTTATTATAGCTACGATTATCTTAAACTCAACATAGGCTTTATGCTACAGTCACATAGGAAGAAAAAACTGATATTCATATTCATATGAAAGTATTTGTGTGTGTGTGTGTATCTATATCTATATCCATATCTATCTATCTATTCATATTAATAATTTTTTTAAAAATTTGATTTATATGCCGCCCTTCTCCGGAGACTCAGGGCGGCTTACAATGCGTTAAGCAATATTATTGATACTATGATTTAAAATTATGGAATTCAATTTCACCAGTATTAAAACACATACATACATTTCTCTAATATTTTGAGACATCTCCCTTCTGCAAGATCTATAGGGAAGATTTTAAGTATGTGGAAGAAATAAAGCATGTCCAATGTATATGTGGAATAGGTTAGTGCTATTACTATTGCTGATCATATGAATCTTTCTCAACTCTTTCAAAGAACAATCTTCGGGCAAAAAACAACAACATAGGAAAAGAAAACATGCCATTGATCTGATCTATTGGAAGAAACAATGGTCCTTAGATCCATTAAATAAAACCAAAGGCGGCAGCTCTCAATTTATTCTTTCCACTTTCCCTTGATCAGGACATCGCCATTCACTTTCTGAAGCGGAGCGAGTGTCACGGGAAAGGGGAGGGGAGAGGCGACACTGCCAAGCCTCTGCTTACAGGCTCCCGACTTTAAGCTCTCTCTCTCTCCCCAGTCCTCTACCTGCAGATCCCGAACGGTGGGAGGCCGTCCGCTTGAACGGGGTCCTTTCTGCCGCCCAACGCCGCTCGGCCCGCCTGTTGCTCCTGCTTCCTCCGGCTCGTCCTGCCGTTTCCCGTCCGTTATCCCGTCGTCCGCCATCTTCGGCAGGAAAGGAACGGCTCCTGGGAGCCCGAACTACAGAGATACTGGAAGAGATGGGCGGAATCCTTGAGGAATTCTTCCGGCAGCAAGGGTTGCCGTGGCAACGAGGTCTTCAAGGAGGACCACTTCGCACACCCGGCCCCCAAACCTAGCTCGCCCCCACTTCTGCGTGGCTTGCGCGTGCGCATGTTATGTGGCTTCCTCTTTCTCAGATTATTGGGGGGGGGGGGGAGGGGAGGTCTATATAATGCTTCCTTCTAGTTAAATAAACGGTTATTCCTCCGCGTAAATCTGAAATAGTTCGCTCCCATGTGTGATACTTGCTAGATTCTTTTAATATACCCCCCCAGGAAAAACAACCTTTATTTTGCCGCAATGAAGAGCAGTTAAAACGGCAATAGTGTACATCCTCGATCTAAATGTCGTTACTGCCATTTCATTACTTCGATTTTGAACAGTGACTATATAACCATGGGGCTAACGTGTATTCATTCAACTAAGCAATCACTCATTCAGAAATTGTGTATGTAGAAAGTAGGAGTAGGCATATATACATGAGGGGAAAAAATGTAAGAATCCCAATGTACTTCCTTTTTGTCTTTTTTCACATGCTCTACTGCCATGTATTCAAAGCTTCATCAAAAGGATAGGCTTGCAGATATTGCTTTGCTCAACCATTCTAAATAAACCTTAATTGGCTGAGCTTAGATAAATCTTGTTTTATGCTGGCTCGATTTATACAAGTCAGTAAGTGCAAACCAAAGCATATTACAGCTTGTTGCAATATGTATAAAAGCAAGATAAAGGAAATTTACAGAAATAAACACCTTGCTCCTAGTGAGCATGGAGGAAGCTGATAAGGGACTGGTAAGATGGGGGTAGGGTTGTGTATACATCATAATTTTATCTGCAGCACAGCACCATTTCTGCTGTCTTAGTAATTCTCTGCCAATCATCTAAACAGTTTGGATGAGATTCAACACTTCTCACATTGCCAATAGTCCTTCCCTTGAGTGTTGCTATTAAAAGCAGCAGAGTGCAGCGATGGAGAAGGACAATGGACTGCAATGGTTCATAAGGCTATGAGCATGCTTGGTCATCAAGTTTCTAATAAAAGAATTTCAGGAAGGATCATTAGTTGAGTTTGACATCAGTTAGCACTGCATTATATCCTATGTGGAGTTGGTGTGTCTAATTAGAGGTGTGATTGGTCCTTTTGTATTCTGTTGAAACAAAGCCCATAAAAATAGTCTCTTCCCAAGAGGGATGGTGATGGGGACCAGCAATTTCTACCATTGCTGGAATAGTGAGCAGAATAGAAAAGTGCAGATCCTTCACTACTAGGGCAATTCTTGATTTTACATCTGCAGTTGCCCTCATTACAGTGGATGTTGCAGTAATATTATCCAGCAAATGTAAAGAAATCACTATTGTAAGTTAGAGGATAGAGGTTATCGGTAGGGAAAATCAATCTCGCATAAGGTTCATATCCCAATTGGATCCTCAATAAATCAGAAGGACGATGCTCTGTTCAATTTTGCAGCCAAAGGGAAATACCCTCAAAGACACAGAGCATTATGGCTGGATGGGAGGATGTGAATGTGTGGTGAATCAGCTGGTACCCTGCAGGTCCAGAATCCTTATGTCCACAGCCATGTGAATCAGAATGTTTGCCTATAGTTTTTGAATCGAAAATGCTTGTTTCCTCTTGGCCTTAGGTTGAAGAATTTGCAGAGAGGACATGTCATTGATGACCAGTAAGAGTCACTTGTTGAGATGGGCAGTTATGGAAACCAAATAGGCCATCATGGATCTGGGACAAGCCAGCTTTTTGAACAACCTTTGACTCTATTTATCAAAATACCTGTCAGCAATTATAAGAATGAAACTAGGAGAAATAGCCTTAAGACTGAAAACTGAAAAGTTCCTGGGAAGTTTTGAACAGGAGTTTCAATCACACTGGAAATGAGTGGAGAGGAGTGCCAGCTGTATCATTGGATTACAAATGAGAGGTTGAAGTAATATATAGTAAGTTTTTGAAGACTGCTGATATATGGTGATCTTTCAGCCAAACTACATGACACATTTCCCCTGTCTCCCCTTTTAGAAGAAAAAAGACATAATTACAAGTAAAGTCTGGATCAAAAATCTACACAGCTGTTTTCACTTTATATATAAATATGCCCAGTATAAGTATGCTTTTTAAAAAGCGTGAATAAACCCATGGAAAGATTGACTTTTACTCTACCTATTTGTTATCACTGGCTATTGTATGAGAAGCATTTATAACAGCTAAATCAGATTAGATCTTGTCTTTCTTTTCTTGAATGCCATATTTATTTTGGATATATTTACTACTGTCTTTCTCACTGCTTGATTTTGAAGCTAAGTACAAACAAAAAGCTTTTCAGCATCAGGTTCACACAATTGGTTCTATTTCGTGTTAGGGTTAGTATTTTGGGTTGACTGCTATATCACAGCAAAAGACTGTCTTGTTGACTCACATTTTACAATTGTTCCCTTGTCAGCATCTTGTAAAGTTTTATCAATTTTTTACCTGTAGTTCTGCAGAAAATGGAATTCTGCCAAATTACCATCAGTAATCCAGTGAGCATAATATCTATGCATATTGTCTTCAGGGGTAATCTTGCTATCATATTTTTACTGTTTGTGTTTTCTTAGCATGCTGCTGCATTCTGGTTTCCTTTCTTCAGTCATTTTATTTCCATTGTATATGAATCAGGTACAATTATTTCATTCTGCAGTAACTGTATGATGGATTAGCTTTGTACAGGCTTCTAAAATCCTTTATCTGTTGAAAACAAGTGGTTGTGCTTATATTACATACTTTCACATGGTTAAACTCAATATATTTAATTGACCTGCTTTTAAGGATGCATTGACATACTGAACATAAATCAATCATGTTTATTGAATTTGTACAACATACTAGTCTAAAACATAGCACTTGCTAGCTTGTAGCTTAATGTGACATGCAAACACAGCCAATACTTTCTTGGATCTGACGGGTCCCTGTCTTGTTTTATGTGACAATAGCAATAGCACCCAGACTCATATACCACTTCACAGTGCTTTACAGCCCTCTCTAAGTGGTTTACATCGTCAGCATATTGCCCCCAACAATCTGGGTCCTCATTTTACCGACTTTGGAAGGATGGAAGGCTGAGTCAACCTTGAGCCTGGTGAGATTCAAACTGCCAAATTGAAGGCAACTTGCAGTCAGCAGAAGTAGCCTGCAGTACTGCGTTCTAACCTCTGCGCCACCAATAGTAAGCATCTATGTGTCTCTTTCCTTCCCAAGCCAAAATTCCCACTGTTACTTTCATTAACTTTGTTAAATACCTTGTTTTAAAAAGAGGGAGAGCAAAACTTTCAGAAACATGGAGATACATTTTCAAAGACCAGCGCAATACCGCTGAGAAAGAAAAACAAATCCAAGAAGAAACCATCATGGCTGCACAAAGATCTCTCTGACAAATTGAAAGACAAAAAGGACAAGTACAAAAAATGGAAACAGGGACACATAATTAAGGCAGGATATCAGAATACAGCCAGAAACTGCAAAGACGAAGTCAGGAAAGCAAAGGCTCAGAATGAACAAAGATTTGCAACAATAAGTCAAAGATAACAAAAAAAAGTTTTTTCCAACATATAAATAAAAAAAAAATCAAGGAAACAGTCGGTCCACTAAAGAGATAAGACAGCAAGGAAGTAACAAGCAACAGAGAGAAAGCAGAGCTGCTTAACTCATTCTTTGCATTGGTCTTCACGCAAAAAAAAAAACACAAACAAACAAAAAAAACCTATAGCCCAACCTACCAGAAACATAACTGTAAAAAACAGACTGGAAATAAAAGTTAAAATAAGCCAAAAATTAGTAAGAGAACACCTGTCTGATCTTGATGAATACAAATCACCAGGACCTGATGGATCACATCCCAGAGTTCTAAAGGAGCTGGCAGATATCATCTCAGAACCATTGTACCACATCTTTCAAAAATCCTAGAACACCGGGGAACTACCAGAGAACTGGAAAAGAGCTGATGTGGTTCCCATCTTCAAAAAAGGAAAAAAAAAACAGACCCAGGAAACTACAGACCAATCAGCCTAACATAAATACCCAGGAAGATACTGGAAAAGATAACAAAAAAACAGATCTGCCAATACCTAGAAACAAGAAAGTAATAACTAGCAGTCAGCATGGGTTTGTTAAAAACAGATAATGCCAAACCAATCTTATTTCATTCTTCAACATAGTGAGTAAATTAGTAGACCAGCGAAATACTGTAGACATAATATACTTAGACTTCAGCAAGGCATTTGACAAAGTAGACCACAACCTACTTCTTCATAAACTAGAAAAAAGTGGGATAGATAGCTTCATCACTAGGTGGATTCGCAACTGGCTGACAAACCGTACTCAATGAGTAGTCCTTAATGGGTCTAAGTCTACATAGAGAGAAGTAAGTAGTGGGGTGCCACAAGGTTCTGTCTTAGGCCCAGTACTCTTCAATATCTTCATAAACGATTTAGATGAGGAATAGAAGGGGAACTCACCAAATCTGCAGATGATACTAAGCTGGCAGGAATAGCTAACACCCTAGAAGATGGATCTTGACAGACTTGAACACTGGGTCCTATGTAACAAAATGAAATTCAAGATAGAGAAAAGTAAAGTCCTATACTTAGGTAAGAAAAACCAAAAACACACATATAAACTGGGGGAAACCAGGCTTAATAGCAGTGACTGTGAGAGGGATCTTGGAGTCTTAGTGGACAACCAGCTAAATATGAGCTGGCAGTGTGCAGTGGCAGCTAAAAAAGCCAATGCAATCCTAAATTGCATTAACAGAGGGATACAATCAAGATCAAGTGAGGTACTAATACCATTCTATAAAGCCCTAGTAAGACCACACCTAGAGTACTGCAACCAGTTTTGGTCACCACATTATAAAAAAGATGTTGAGACTCTAGAAAAAGTGCAGAGGAGAGCAACCAGGATAATTAAGGGACTAGAGGCTAAAACACGAAGAACGGTTTCAGGAACTGGGCATGGCTAGTCTAGTGAAGGGAAGGACCAGGGGAGACATGATAGCAGTCTTCCAATACTGAGCGGCTGCCACAGAGAGGAGGCAGTCAAGCTGTTTTCCAAAGTACCTGAAGGCCAGACAAGGAATAATGGATGGAAACTGACCAAGGAGAGATTCAACCTAGAAATGAGGAGGAACTTTCTGACTGAGAACAATCAACCAATGGAACAGCTTGCCTTTGGAAGGTGTGGGAGCTTCATCACTTTTTTTTTTAATTTGAATTTGTATACCGCCCTACTCCCGAAGGACTCAGGGCGGTGAACAGCCAAAAGATAAAATACATATAATACAAAAGTTAAAAAACCATTAAAATACAATTAAATAATTTGGCCCAGAAAACAAAATTTAAAACACCCCAAATTTATGAGACAAATTTTAAATTTTAAATTTTAAAAACAGTTTAAAAAAGAGGTTAGGCCAGGCCGGCCTGCTGGAATAGGAATGTTTTGAGGGCACGGCGGAAAACGCACAGATTTGTGATCCTCCGTATCTCAGGGGGAGCTTGTTCCAGATTGCAGGTGCTCCCACAGAGAAGGTTCTCCCCCTGGGGGCCGCCAGTCGACACTGTTTGATCGACGGCACCCTAAGAAGCCCCTCTCTATGGGAGCATACTGGTCGGTGAGAGGCCACTGGTGGCTGAAGGCGGTCTCGTAGATACCCCAGTCCTAGGCCATGGAGCACTCTAAAGGTGGTAACCAAAACCTTGAAGCGGACCCGGAAGACCACCAGGAGCCAGTGCAGCTCGCGCAGGAGAGGGGTCACATGGGAGCGCCACATCGCTCCCATAACCACCCGCGTGGCCGCATTCTGGACCAGCTGGAGCCTCCGGGTGCTCCTCAAGAGGAGCCCCATGTAGAGAGCATTGCAGTAATCCAGGCAGGAAGTGACGAGGACATGAGTGACCATATTTAACGAGCCCCGATCCAGAAAGGGACGCAACTGGTGAATCAGGCAAACCTGATAAAATGCCCTCCCGGCCACACCCGTCAAATGCTCTTCTAAAGACAACTGTGAGTCCAGGAGGACACCCAAGTTGCGAACCCTCTCCTTGGGGGCAACGACTCACCCCCAATAGTCAGTGATGGCGCCAACTGACTATATCGGGATGTCGGAAACCACAGCCACTCGGTCTTGGATGGGTTGAGCCTGAGTCTGTTTCTCCCCATCCAGATCCCTACAGCCTCCAGGCACCGGGACATCACTTCAAGGGCATCATTGGGGTGGTCCGGGGTGGAGATGTACAGCTGAGTACATCAGCGTACTGGTAGTACTTCACCCCGAAACCACGGATGATCTCACGCAGTGGCTTCACATAAATGTTGAACAGAAGGGGTGAGAGGACCAACCCTTGTGGCACCCCACATACAAGGGGCCTCGGGGTCAACCTCTGCCCCCCTGCCAACACAGACTGCGACCAGTCGGAGAGAAAGGAGGAGAACCACCGCAACACGGTGCACCCCACCCCTAACTCTTCCAGCCGGTGCAGCATGATACCATGGTCGATGGTATCAAAAGCCGCTGAGAGGTCTAATAGGACCAGCACAGAGGAACAACCCCTGTCCCGAGCCCTCCAGAGATCATCAACCAATGCGACCAATGCCGTTTCCGTGCTGTACCCAGGCCTGAAGCCCGACTGGAACGGATCTAGATAAGCCAATTTATCCAGGTACTGAGGGAGCTGTCGTGCTACCACACTCTCAACAACCTTCGCAACAAAGCGAAGGTTGGAGACTGGACAGTAATTAGCCAACACTGCTGGGTCCAGGGAAGGCTTCTTGAGGAGAAGTCTCACAACCGCCTCTTTCAAGGCAGCGGAAAAGACACCCTCACTCAAAGAAGCATTTATAATCCCCTGGAGCCAGCCTCGTGTAACCTCCCGAGAGGCCAGCACCAACCAGGAGGGACACGGGTCCAATAAACATGTGGCAGCATTCAGTCTATTCAGTATCCTGTCCACGTCTTTGGAAGTCACAGAATCAAACTCTTCCCAGATCATATTCTGAAGACCAGCCTCCATCCTCCCTCTCTGAATCTACCCTGTCGGAGTCCAGGTGTTCCCGAATCTGAGCAATTTTATCATACAGATACTGTACAAAATCCTCAGCTCTACCCTCCAAGGGGTCTT